TTCCATCCATCATGATTAGTTAGTCAATAACCAATAAACAACAAAGCCCCTCTCTGTAAACTATGGACATATTTTCTCCTAAACTATATTTCCTTTCCTTCAGCAACCATCAGAATAATTAGAATTTGATTTTGCTCTTAAAGGGAAGGTGAAATGGAAGAAACCGTGTGTGATCCTTAGGAGTGGTCCTCTAGGGAAGCATAGAAAAGAAAATTAACAAGGTTGACAGTTAACTAAGAAAAGAAAGTAGAGAGGAATAGTGAGTGGAAGAGTAAATTTTTAAATGAGAGAAAGGGAGATGGAGATGCTTTTTGGAGACTAAGCGTGTGACTTTAAGTGGCAGGTGGACTTGAAGTCAATAGGTGTGTGGATAATGGAGAATAAATAGATGAAGAGAAGAGATGCTGATTCCACTGCATGCATGCATGAAAGGGTGCTAGGAATGTCCCCACACTCTGCATTTCTGCTAATTGGTTCCTGAGGCCAGAATGACTCCTTTAAAGGTCTGTGTCTTTGATTCTTGAATTTATTTCCTGTGGAACTTAGTGCATTCTCACAGAGGATAACCTGTTAGATCATAGGGCATGCATTTAGCAGATCCTTTGCTAAAGATATTTAATCAGAGAAATGGTGTCAGAACAAGAGGGCATAAGTCCTTCCAGGATAAAAAGAAATTAATTCACCAACAAGGCAACATTGGAAATGGGACGGATCTCGAGATGAATGTCCCATGTAATATTATCAACCAAAGGATTCACTGGCATGTGAACTCACTGGAGATGCTAAGGGTGAGGACATTCTACTCGGAGTAATTAACTTGTTGACTACTTTGCTCAGGGCTGCCAACAGTGGAAATCAAAGGTCTGAATCTACACATGTGACAATATAAGGGTTAAGACCCAGAAAAAGAGAAGTTGCAGAGCAGGCTATGATGCCTAATAACTTAGGTTTATATCAAGTAGCAGATTCAACCATAAAATGACTGATTTTTCTAATCTGCTTCTGCTTGTCACTTTGGACCACTTTGCAGTCCAACCAAAATGATTCATTTACCTAACAATTAAAAACAGAACAGTTATCAAAACAGTCAACCTGACAAGATATAGAAAATAACCCAAAATATATTGTCACATTTATTTGCAGATTTAAGGGTTAAATATGAATATCTTTTAAATGGGTGGGCTCAGGAAACTCAAACAGGGGCTCTGTATCAACCTAGAAGGGTCGGAAGGAGAGGGAGATGGGAGGGAGGTTCAAAAGGGAAGGGGTATATGTATACCTATGGCTGATTTATGTTGAGGTTTGACAGAAAACAACAAAATTCTATAAAGCAATTATCCTTCAATAAAAAAATAAATATTTAAAAAGGTTTTATGCATAAATGAAATTTATAAATTTATTCCCTGCAGAATTCAGTGTTCCATTTAATGTATAAAATTGAAATACATTAATATTAGGGTATGTTCTAGGTGGTAAAAATTCACACACAAACTATAACAAAACAAATAATTTGTAAGTTAAAGTTAGTTTTTTCAGAGCTTTCTAAGCACTTTTTCACAATTCTTATCTGTGAGAGTGAATTTTATGCTGATCTAGAGCATCACTGGTTGTTCTTTAAGGATTCCAGAAGTAAAACAACTAATGTAGATAACTTTATTAAAAATCTTTTTATTTTATATTGAAGTATAGCTGATTAACAATGTTGTAATAGTTTCAAATGGACAGCAAAGGGACTCAGCCATACATATACGTGTAGCTATTTTCCTCCAAATTCCCCTCCCATCCAGTCTGCCACATAACATTGAGCAGAGTTCCATGTGCTATACAGTAGGTCCTTGTTGGTTGTCCATTTTATTTTTTAAATTTTTTAATTGGAGAAAAATTGCTTTATAATGTTGTGTGAATAGCTTATGAAATAATTTATGGTCAAGTCCTGATAGTCAAGAAAATCAAAGTAATAGTAGAGTTGGGTAAATTTCCTTCCTGTTGGGCTTCCCAAGTGGCTCAGAGGGTAAAGAAATCTTCCTGCAAGGCAGGAGATCTGGGTTTGATCACTGGGACATGAAGATACCCTGGAGAAGGGAATGGCTATCCACTCCAGTATTCTTGCCTGGAGAATTCCATGGACTGAGGAGCCTGGTGGGCTGCAGTCCATGAGGTCACAAAGGTCACGACTGTGAGACTAACACTGAGAGACTAACACTAACTTTTCACTTCCTTCCTGGTTAACTAGCTGGTTGATATGGAACTAACCATTTAACCCTTTCTGAACTGTAAATCCATCACTAAAATAACAGGGACAAAAAATTTACTGGGGATAAGAGTGAAGTAGATTTTTCTAAGACAAATTTTAACTTTAAAGGTCAAAGCTTCTGCAAATATACAATCAACTTGAAGAATCTTTGATATAGGTAACCTTAATCCTGCCTGGCATGCTGCAATGCATGGGGTTGCAAAGAGTTGGACACAACTGAGTGCTGAACTGAACTGAACCTCAACCCCAATGATCCTTGCCTGCCAATATTCATACCCTTATGTATTCTGTCTTTAACAAAGGGCTGGGCCTTTTTACTCATTACTTCTGATATTAGGTTACAAAAACACTGTGATTTCCATCCTGCTCTCACTATCTTCCTTCTCCCTCCCCTCTTTCTTGAAGGAAACTACCATGATGTGAGCTGTCCCATGGAAAGGCAAGGAACTGAGAGAGGCTCCCAGCCAATAGCCAGCAAGGATTTGAGGCTATTGGTCCAAAAGCCCAGGAGGGCTGCACTGAACCCTGCCAATGACACCTGAGTGGGCTTGGAAGCAGATCTTCCCCCAGTGGAAAATTCAGATGTGAATATAGCACCAACTAGTACTTTGATTATAGTCTTGTCAGAGATCCTTAGGCAAGGCATCAGCCAAGCTTCACTCAGATTCCTATTGGAAGAGCTGTGAGGTAACAAATGTGTGTTGTTTTATCTTGGGATAATTATTATGTGGCAATAGTAATTAGCAATTACTAATACATGCTCCAAAAAAAGAAAGAGCCAAGAATTGGGATCATGGATAGGGGAATGAGGAACTTCTCTCCCGAGTGACTAGATTCAATAAGCACTGATAGAACAGGTCAAGTAAAGTGGTAAAGGAATGCAATACAGTATTCCTGCTTTGAACCAGCTTATAGGCCTTGTACAAACACAAAGTAACTTAGAAGTGACAGGGACTGGCAGCTGTTTACCAAACCTATTTCTATTCTGTCTATTCACTAAGCTAGAAACACTTCCCAGTGTCTCCTGGAATGTGACTAGATCCAAACATTAGGGGAGGCTCAGGAAGGGCTGTAGTTTTAGGCTTGGCCCATTAACCTTTCCACATATTGCCTGCTACCTGTTTGATACAGAGGAGCAGAACAACCTTAGAAATCAGCATTGAAGGTGGTAAGCAACAAAAGCAGGAGCAGGTGAGCATGAGCCTCGGTCTGTGAAATGTCACTCAGAGGAGAGCCATCTGCCTACCAACAATGTCTATTTTGGACTTCATCTGATGAGAAATACACTTCTATTATCTTAAGCCACTGAGATTTGGCAGATGATCTGTTACATGAGCTAGCATTATACTATTAAATGCAGTACAGAACAATACAAGGCTATATGTAATTAACATCTTTAATGAGGATTTGAAAGAGGCCTATAACTGAAAAATGCTGGGACATGATTTTTAGTCATTTCTCTTCAATGTTAAGTAGTGATATGACTCTGAAGAAGTCACTTTTCTGGGCTAGATAATACTTGAAACTGTTTCAAATGCCTTCCTTTCTAAATGTCTACCTTTGCAGAATGCTAAGTCTTAAATTTGATAGTTTAGGTCAAAGACTGTGTGAGGTTATCCTTAGCCATCATGCAATTCCTCTAGCTTTTGAAAGTGAAGCAATCTGCATCTCCATTGTACAGTGTATCATCTATATTCTTCCATTGTAACATCTTTCATCTATTTTTCATATGTACCTTTCACTGGTCTTCAATAAGGCTAAAGGTCATTGGCATCAGAAATTATACTTTATTCATCTTTACACTCTAAGACTTAGCACAGTGTCTGGCACAGAGTAGGATGGAAAAACAAGTGACTGAGTGAGGGTAGAACAAATGTCATAAAATTTTCAAAGGTTCAAGCAGGGACTGAGATAGCATAAAGAGGAGAGGGGATATGCGTCTCTGAGTAATGAGGTGGGAAGGAGGGGAGATGGTAGTATTGGAATTTGAACTACTATGTACTAGATGTGGGTGAAACATTAATTGTTCCAGGTGGTGGCAATTTGTTCCATGAGTGAAGGAAATAGGTGGGGACTTCAGAGAGCCTACCTAACCAAATAATTGGCCAAATTGCTGTTATCTGCATAAGTATCCTAGCCTGTTGATGCTTTATATAAGGATTAAAAAGGAAAGATCTTGGAGGACAGAATCCAATAAATCTTCATGAGTTCTACAACTCTTTCCCCCAGGGTTGATTAATTGTCACAAGGCAGAGACATGGACAAAAGAAATGAGTCTTCAAATACAGATTTAATCCTCCTGGGCCTCTTCCCTGATATGAAACATGTCAACTTCCTTGTCTGTGCCATTCTCCTGATCTACACCATGGCTCTCACCTCAAACTCCATTCTAATCCTCCTAATCTGGGTGGATTCTCACCTCCACACACCCATGTACTTCCTGCTCAGCCAACTGGCTCTCATGGACATGATATTAATCTCTAGCATCATACCCAAGATGGCAACTGACTTCTTCTCAGGGAAGAGAAACATATCACGAGTGGCCTGTGGGACTCAGATCTTCTTCTTCCTGACTGTAGGAATTGCTGAGTGCACCCTCATCACCCTCATGTCCTATGACCGATATGTGGCCATCTGCAACCCTCTGAGATACACCCTCATCATGAGCCAGAAAGTCTGTTTGCAGATGGCTGCCATCTCCTGGGCTGGGGGTGCCCTTACATCACTTGCACACACGGCCTATGCCATGCATTTCCCCATCTGTGGTTCCAGAGAGATTCCCCATTTCCTCTGTGAGATCATGTCCATGCTGAAATTGGCCTGTGATGATGTCTCCGCCTATGAGAAGGCTGTGGTAGTGACAAGCATTGTGGTGCTCCTCATCCCCTTGTCCCTCATCATGTCCTCTTATGCTCTCATATTCCTTGCTGTCCTCCACATGAAATCTCCAGAGGGAAGGGACAAAGCTCTAGCCACTTGCTTTTCCCACTTGACTGTAGTGTGCCTCTATTATGGCCCTGCCATGGTGGTCTACATGAGGCCTAGTTCCTACCATAATCCCAGACTAGACCAAGTCCTCTTTGTACTTGACCCTATTCTCACTCCATTGCTAAATCCTCTGATTTATAGTCTTAGAAACAAAGAAGTGTTGGGGGCCCTAAGGAAGGTTCTAACTTGATGATACAGAGTCAAACTAAAAGAAGAAGATATGCCCACTGTAATCACTAACTTTAATACAGTATAAGCCTTTGATTGTGTGGATCACAATAAACTGTGGAAAATTCTGAAGGAGATGGGAATACCAGACCACCTGACCTGCCTCTTGAGAAACCTATATGCAGGTCAGGAAGCAACAGTTAGAACTGGACATGGAACAACACACTGGTTCCAAATAGGAAAAGGAGTAGGTCAAGGCTGCTTATTTAACTTATATGCAGAGTACATCATGAGAAATGCTGGGCTGGAGGAAGCACAAGCTGGAATCAAGATTGCCGGGAGAAATGTCAATAACGTCAGATATGCAGATGACACCACCCTTATGGCAGAAAGTGAAGGAGAACTAAAGAGCCTCTTGATGAAAGTCAAAGAGGAGAGTAAAAAAGTTGGCTTAAAGTTCAACAATCAGAAAACTAAGATCATGCATCTGGTCCCATTACTTCATGGGAAATAGGTCAGGAAACAGTGTAAACAGTGTTGGACTTTATTTTTTTGGGCTCCAAAATCAATGCAGATGGTGATTGCAGCCATGAAATTAAAAGACGCTTACTCCTTGGAAGGAAAGTTATGACCAACCTAGACAGCATATTAAAAAGCAGAGACATTACTTTACCAACAAAGGTCTGTCTAGTCAAGGCTATGGTTTTTCCAGTGGTCATGTATGGATGTGAGAGATGGACTGTGAAGAAAGCTGAGTGCCGAAAAATTGATGCTTTTTACCTATGGTGTTGGAGAAGACTCTTGAGAGTCCCTTGGACTGCAAGGAGATCCAACCAGTCCATCCTAAAGGAGATCAGTCCTGGGTATTCATTGAAAGGACTGATGCTGAAGCTGAAACTCCAATACTTTGGCCACCTCATGCTAAGAGTTGACTCATTGGAAAAGACCCTGCTGCTAGGAGGGATTGGGACAGGAGGAGAAGGGGACAACAGAGGATGAGATGGCTGGATGGCATCACCGACTTGATGGACATGAGTTTGGGTAAACTCTGGGAGTTGGTGATGGACAGGGAGGCCTGGCGTGCTGTAGTCCATGGGGTCGCAAAGAGTCGGAAACGACTGAGCGACTGAACTGAACTGAACTGAAATAAATTAGACGCATGTTAAGAAGTATTACATTTCAAATTATCCATTCATCCAAAAATATTTAATAATGGTCTCCATTTTAGGTACTTTTGGCATCATCTCTAGAATTGCTTTAGAATCACAGTGGAATTTCTCAGTTTTTTTTTTTTCTTTCTATGTTTCGTGGTTTCACTCGTACTTCTCTGCTTTGAAACATTTTTACAATATTCAGTTTCTATCTAGAAACTGTGAACTTCCACAAGTGTGGTGGCAGTAGGAAACTGATGATAAAACTCCACAGAAATTGGAGTTTTGGAAAACTGGAAAATTAGATCAACAATAGAACTTTATACCTCTGAGAAACATACAGGTCTCATTCAACCCCTTGAAGAAGCACACCTTGACATAAATCCAGAAATGTTATATGCCTGTGTTCTCCATCTTCAAAAACATGCATGTATCCATTCACACACAAAATGACCATATATAAACCACTCCTGATACACAAAACTTTGCATTTCCAAAACCTTAATTAAGTATACTCAAGTTGAACGTAACACTGCAACCAAACAAAGAATAGAATAAAGAGAGCCAAGATTCCAGATTTTGATAATAATTTAAAAGCAACTGAGCACAAACCAGTGGATGAAATGTTTTCATTTTTTAGTCAATCAAATAGTTCATTTGAATACAACTAACTTATTTAAATATGTAAAAGTATAATAGTCCAAAGCATCTCAAGCTTAATTATTTAGAGAGTCGTAAGGCCAATAGAAAGAAAAGGAAATGCAATTTAAATAAGAAAGTGCAATGACTTGAGTTCAAAGATACCTGTGTAACTGAAGTCTAATGTAGGAAACAAGAACTAACTGCAAACCAGAAATATCTCGAGGATACAGGGATAAAACCCATTGATCTATTGAGTAGATCATAAGCAGCATAATCAATACTTGAACCATTTAAGAATTATGATTTGGACTATAAAGAAAGCTGAGTGCCGAAGAATTGATGATTTTGAACTGTGATGTTGCAGAAGACTCTTGAGAGTCCCTTGGACTGCAAGGAGATCAAACCAGTCAATCCTAAATGAAATCAGTCCTGAATATTCATTGGAAGGACTGATGCTGAAGCTCCAGTACTTTGGCCACCTGATGCGAAGACCTGACTCACTGGAAAAGGCCCCATGCTGGGAAAGACTGAAAGCAGGAGGAGAAGGGGATGACAGAGGATGAGATGGTTGGATGACATCACCAACTTGATGGACATGAGTTTGAGCAAGCTTTGGGAGTTGGCAATGGACAGGGTATATCTCTCTTTTTCTCCCTTGCTTTTTGCTTCTCTTCTTTTCACAGCTATGTGTAAGGCCTCCTCAGACAGCCGTTTTGCTTTTTTGCATTTCTTTTTCTTGGGGATGGTCTTGATTCCTGTCTCCTGTACAATGTCATGAACCTCCGTCCATAGTTGATCAGGCACTCTGTCTATCAGATCTAGTCCCTTAAATCTATTTCTCACTTCATTTGAATGCAGAATTCCAGAGAAGAAAGCCTTCCTCACCGATCAATGCAAAGAAATAGAGGAAAACAATAGAATGGGAAAGACTAGAGATCTCTTCAAGAAAATTAGAGATACCAAGGGAACATTTCATGCAAAGATGGGCACAATAAAGGACAGAAATGGTATGGACCTGGCAGAAGCAGAAGATATTAAGAAGAGGTGGCAAGAATACACAGAAGAACAGTTCAAGAAAGATCTTCATGACCCAGATAATCATGAAGGTGAGATCACTCACACTCACCTAGAGCCAGACATCCTGGAATGTGAAATCAAGTGGGCATTAGGAAGCAACACTACCAACAAAGCTAGTGGAGGTGATGGAATTCCAGTTGAGCTATTTCAAATCCTGAAAGATGATGCTGTCAAGGTGCTGTACTCAATATGTCAGCAAATTTGGAAAACTCAGCAGTGGCCAAAGGAAAATATCAGTTTTCATTCTAATCCCAAAGAAAGGCAATGCCAAAGAGTGCTCAAACTACCACACAATTGCACTTATCTCACACGCTAGTAAAGTAATGCTTAAAATTCTCCAAGCTAGGCTTTAGCAATACATGAACCGTGAACTTCCAGATGTTAAAGCTGGTTTTAAAAAAGGCAGAGGAACCAGAGATCAAATTGCCAACATCTGATGGATCATCAAAAAAGCAAGAGAGTTCCAGAAAAACATCTATTTCTTCTTTATTGACTACTCCAAAGCCTTCGACTGTGTGGATCACAATAAACTGTGGAAAATTCTGAAAGAGATGGGAATACCAGACCACCTGACCTGCCTCTTGAGAAATCTGTATGCAGGTCAGGAAGCAACACTTAGAACTGCACATGGAACAACAGACTGGTTCCAAATAGGAAAAGGAATAGGTCAAGGCTGTATATTGTCACCCTACTTATTTAACTTATATGCAGAGTACATCATGAGAAATGCTGGGCTGGAGGAAGCACAAGCTGGAATCAAGATTGCTGAGAGAAATATCAATAACCTCAGACATGCAGATGACACCACCCTTATGGCAGAAAGTGAAGGAGAACTAAAGAGCCTCTTGATGAAAGTCAAAGAGGAGAGTAAAAAAGTTGGCTTAAAGTTCAACAATCAGAAAACTAAGATCATGCATCTAGTCCCATTACTTCATGGGAAATAGATCGGGAAACAGTGGAAACAGTGGCTGACTTTATTTTTTGGGGCTCCAAAATCACTGCAGATGGTGATTGCAGCCATGAAATTAAAAGACGCTTACTCCTTGGAAGGAAAGTTATGACCAACCTAGACAGCATATTAAAAAGCAGAGACATTGCTTTGTCAGCAAAGATGTATCTAGTCAAGGCTATGGTTTTTTCAGTAGTCATGGATGGATGTGAGAGATGGACTATAAAGAAAGCTGAGCACCAAAGAATTGATGCTTTTGAACTGTGTTGTTGGAGAAGACTCTTGAGAGTCCCTTGGACAGCAAGGAGATCCAACCAGTCCATCCTAAAGGAGATCAGTCCTGGGTGTTCATTGGAAGGACTGATGTTGAAGCTGAAATTCCAATTCTTTGGCCACCTGATGTGAAGAGCTGACTCATTCGAAAAGACCCTGATGCTGGGAAAGATTGAAGGCAAGAGGAGAAGGGGACAACAGAAGATGAGATGGTTGGATGGCATCACCGACTCAATGGACATGAGTTTGGGTAGACTCCGGGAATTGGTGATGGACAGGGAGGGCTGGCGTGCTGCTGTTCATGGGGTCGCAAAGAGTCATACATGACTGAGTGACTGAACTGAACTGATGGATAGGGAAGCCTGGCATACTGCAGTCCATGGGGTCGCAAAGAGTCAGACATGACTGAGCGACTGAACTGAACCGAAGATTTATGAACATTAACAATTGAACAAAAATAAAGTATGATGTGCTAAGTGAGATCAATGACTCAGGAGTATTTCATGGTTTAAAAATATCAGTCTCTTTAATGATGACTGAATGAACTATGCAAAGACCTGTTGACAGAGAAAGGACCAAATTATCTCAGTCCCTGAGCTAGTACTTACAAATCAGTTCTTGTATGTCAAAGAAATTTAACACTCAGCACTTCAGTAAAATATCATACAATATTGAGAAGATGCCAACAAATTTACACTCATCAAAATGAAACAGTCTAAACTTTCTTAAGCCATGCCTCAGATTTACTGAATCAAACCAAGATCCCACATGGTCCATATTCCCCACAAAGCTTGAAAAGCACTGATCTGATCCCATTCCATTTTCACTGTTCATCCCTAATTGCATTGTCTTAGTTCAGAGTCTCATACTCTGTTCCTTTATTGTTTCAATAGCTTC